ACTCAGAAGAGAAAGTAAATATACATGTAGCACGTTAGGTGTCGTGATAATTTCTATAGAGAAGCGCTGTCTTTATCGCCCACCACTGAATGTGACATTTTAATCAGGAAAAACCAATTCCAAATAACCAGGAACTATTTTCCTGTGACATCAAGTTAATAATATAATATTCCCACACAAATATAATTTGCCATAAACGTCGCGTCCAATTTGCTAGATTCGGACATTTCTTTCCAACGATTACCGATAATGGAACCGTGTGCGTCATTAATTAAGTTGGTCCAAGCAGTACAGGAATCTCTGATAAAACCGATCTAGAACTATTAGCTGCAATATAAAGATAACATGAAAGGAACTCGAGACAATACATTTTTTGCAGAATGGTGCTATCCAATGGTAGAATCATTAGAGATAGAAGATTATTATGGCCTGGAGACCATGAGGTATCTAGGTGTAACCAGAGGGTCTGACCGGCTCACTACACTCAGAGGAAAGGCAAGACGGACATATAACCATATTGTGACCGGTACCATCAGTATTGGAACTCTGTGCTGGCTGCTGAAGGTGAGGATCCAGCATGCATGGGAATGCCCCAAGTGCTCTGATGTCAATTCTTGACTAAATTCAACTCAGCTCAATGTTTTTTCACCAGTTTTTCACATGGGACAGCGAGAAATATTTCACTTGATTTTCGCTGCCGCAGGAACGGGGCTAGTATGGGGTGACCCGATTACAGTGAAGTTGAAACCTCTACAAAGACTGAGAGATATAAAAACAGCGAACCTCAGTATAAATCCGCTCTGTAGTAAGTCCAAATTGGTAAACGTCCTGTTTAGATTTTGCTTGATTCCTTACGTTTGTTTAGGATGCGATTCCCATTCTAGGACTTGTAAGAGTCCAAATGAGCAACGATGCGGCGTGCTACCATGGCATGCTCGGAGAAGGAAGAGGAGGCCATTTGTTTATTAATCAAGGGAATGTTTGCAAAATAGATGGATGTCAAAAAAAACGTTGCAGAAAAATAGCACTCCAAAAGTCCAAACAAGCCGTAGCAGTAATATCTTGAACTGCCAGACAATGTCACGTATCCGGAGCATCGTGAGGAGAAGGAAAAAGCAAGGTTTTTTGTGTGTGCTTGGATATAATTTATTAAAAGTCAAACAAGGTGAGCCTTAATCGAGTCCAAGTATGGAGAAGAGAGAGAGAGAGAAAGAGAGAGAGAGAGAGAGAGAGAGAGAGGCCGACAGACAGACCAGACAGACAGACCAGACAGACAGACAGACAGACAGACAGACAGACAGACAGACAGACAGACAGACAGACAGACAGACAGACAGACAGACAGACAGACAGACAGACAGACAGACGGACAGACAGACAGACAGACAGACAGACAGACAGACAGACAGACAGACCAGACCAGACCAGCCCAGCCCAGACCAGACCAGACCAGACCAGACCAGACCAGACCAGACCAGACCAGACCAGACCAGACCAGACCAAACCAGACAGACAGACAGACAGACAGACAGACAGACAGACAGACAGACAGACAGACAGACAGACAGACAGACAGACAGACAGACAGACAGAAGGGGGGGGGGGTTAGAGAGAACAGGAACAAAATTCGGAATTGCAGACTCTCCTTTCAAGCAATAACATCTCCTCCCCTTCCCTTCTTAGCACCACCATAGTAGGCACTCAGCTCTTCACATAAAGGGCGAATGTTGAATTTATAATTAAGAATCGACATCACAGCACTCGGGACACTCTCATAAGTGCTTCGTCCCCATCTTCAGCAGCAAATCTGATAGCACCAGTAACCGTCTGAATGTGTATCCATCTCATCCATCCCCTGAGTGTTGAGCTCGATCCCCTTGTAACTACCTGCAGAGCAATTTTCCTCAGACCGTAATGATCTTCTGTGCCTCCTCAAAAATTAATGAAGGTAAAATGAGCTGCAATGTTCATTTACTTCACATAAACCTTTTTTTTTAAATTATGTATTTTAATATAAAGCAGTGTTGAAATTATTCTATGCATAACCATCAAGGTACAATAAGCCAATTACAAACGCTTTTTCTTTCTTTTTTATTAATGGGAACAAATTCATCATTCTTCCTTTATTTCTTATGAAAAAATTCGTTTCGTATGCGTTCTGTTTAGTATACGTTC